GGCTAGACCGGAGCAGGTACACTGGCACAGATAAGAGCTCTGGACACATGAAATCCAGGACAGAGAACCCCCTCTGGAACAGTAATGGTTGTAGCGATACCATGCGGGGGGCGGGAAGGGGGAGCGGAGGGGGAGAAATTGGGAACTGTCTACAATGATCAACGTATAACCACCCACCAGGGGGACGAACAACAGAAACGTGGGGGAAGGGAGACAGTGAATGGTGTGAGGTATGAAAATAATAATAGTTTATAGTTTATCAGGGGTCCATGTGGGTGGGAGGGTGGGGGAGGGAGGGGAAAAGAGTAGCTAATACCAAGGGCTCAAGCAGAAAGAACATTTTTGAAAGTTATGATGGCAACATATGTGCAAATGAGTTTGATACAATTTATGTACGGGTTGTTATAAGAGCTGTAAGTGCCTCCATAAAATGATTTATTAATAGAAATAAATAAAAGGCCTGAGTTTTCAGAAAACTCAGCCGCCAAAAACCTTCTGGAGCACAGTTCTACTCTGAGACGCATGGGGGCGCCAGGATTGAGAAATGCCTTGTTGGCAACTGGTGGTGGTATCTTGCAGCCCACCCGCTGCCCCCAGCACTTTCCACGTGGAACCTGACTAGTGGCTCTAGATAAAAGTATTTTATAACTGTCTCTAAGACACAAGAGAGTCCCTAGATGGCTCAAATGGTTAAGTGCTGAGTACTAACCAAAAGGTTGGTGGGTTCGAATCCAGGCAGAGGTACTTCAGAAGACAATGTGATGGATTTTCTCAGGGTCATGGTTCTACCATGCGTGACACACGTGGGGTCTCCAGGAGTTGTTATCAATTCAAGGGCAACCGGTTTGGTCTGTTTTGAGGCTAGGACACAAACTGATAACAGTGGCAGCAAATGTATCTACTGGCTGGCATCCAGAATGATGGTAGTCCACGAGGAGTTTAAACAACAGAACAAACCTGGGCCATGAAATACAAGAGCAATTTAAGTTAACATGCCAGGTGTGTATCTATGGAGAATAGCACCCATGGAATTAGTTTGAAATTGCTGCCTGGTCTCTCACAGCTGGCAAATAGGAGCTCTCATTGGTGCCCCTCCCCTACGAGGTGCCAGGGCATGTGCCATTCCTGTCATAGCCTAGATGTTGTTGTCATTATTGTTAGAGGTCATGGAGTTGGTCCTGACTCACACAGACGCATGTACTCAACCAGCAGATCAGGGCACTGCCCAGTCGTGCACCATCCTCAGACTCACTGCTGTGAGTCAATGTGTGAGTCAATGTGTTTGATACCATTGAGAGTCACTGTCCATCCATGAATCCATCTCAAGGATTGTCTTCTCCTTTGCTGCCCCTCTACTTTACCAAGCAAGAACTCTTTCTCCAAGGACTAGTTTCTCCTGATAATAAACATGCCCAAAGCATAGAGAGGAAGTCTTGCCATCCTCACCTCTAAGGACCATTCTGGATGTACTTCTTCCAAGACAGATTTGTTTGTTTCTTTGGCAGTCCATGGTAAATATTCTTTGGCAGCCCCATAAGTCAACGGCATTAATTCTTCCTTGTTCGTTGTATAGCTTCCCTGCACACAGTATTCAACTGAAAATACCATGGCTTGGACCGGGCACACCTTAGCCCTCAAAGTGACATCGTATTTCTTTAACCCTTTAAAGAGACCTTTTGTCACGGATTTGCCAACTGTTTGATTTTCCTGACTGTTGCTTCCTTGAGCATTAATTGTGTATCCAAGTAAAAGAAATCCTCGACAACTTCAATCTCCTCTACTTTTAGTGTGGTGTTACCCATTGGTCCCATTGTGAGGAATTTGGCTCCTTTTTTGCTGTGATGTAGCCCGTACTGAAGGTTGTAGTCTTTGATCTTCACCAGTGTCTTAAGCCCTCTTTACTTTCAGCAAGCAAGTTTGTGGCAGCTGTATATTGAAGGTTGTCAACGAGCCTTCCTCTGATCCCAATGCTGCCTTCTTCGTATAGTCCAATTTCTCTACATTATTTGCTGAGCATCAGATTGAATAAATCTGGTGAATTTCAAAATTTTTCTTCTGACATCCATTTTGGTCTTTTTAAAATTTCCTGTCTTTTTAATGACCCTTTTGCTTCTTCATGTGTGATGTCCTTTTACAACTTACTATGGGCGTGGGGGTCATATTGTTTAGTGCATCAAGCCTATTCTTTAGGTGCTCTGTAAATTCAACTGAGATATACTTAAGGGCTTACTTTTTTTTAAAGTAGTTTTGTTTTGTCTTTTTGCCATATTTTACACAATCCAATACATTCATTCACATACAATTCTGTTACTCAATCCTACTGAATGGAGTCATATAGTCATCAATGCTATCAGCTCCCCTGTTCCCCTTCCCCCTTACCTCCCCCTTCCTGTGCCCTCAGGGAACTATTACTCCTGTTACTGACTCTGAAGGGTTATCTATCTTGACTTTCATGTACCAAGTGATCTTAAATATACAAAGGAAAATAAGCAAATCTAGCAAACTTAACGAGGTAAAACAAACAAAAAACATAATAGTAAAAGGAGGAAGTATTAAAAGAACTGGAGGATACTTAGATGCTTCATCAGTGCCATACCGACCCTGGATTTATCATCCCTTCTTTGTGGCCCATCTGGGGGACTGTCCAATTATCTTTCAGGGGGGTTTTGGGTCTCCACTACATCCACACACCTTCACATCAATTTGGTAGCTTGTTTTTGAACTGATATCTCTTCCTGTGGACACCTCATGATCACACAGGCTGGTTGGTGTGCTTCTTCCACGGGGGCTTTGTTGCTTCCCTGCCAGATGGCTGCTTGTTTAACTGCAAGCCTTTAAGGCCCCAGACGCTTTATCTTTTAATAGATTTCACCATCCACTTTCTTCACCACATTTGCTTATGCACCCATTTTGTTTAAAGGCTTATTTGGGCTCTCTCATTCACTGCCACGAGTCACTTCTGATGCACAGAGACCCTCCAGAGTACAGTAGCCCTGTCCCCTTTGGGTTTCTGAGATTGTAAATCTGTACAGGAGTAGAAAGCCTTATTTTCCTCCTGAGGAGCGGCTGGTGATTTCAAACTGCTGGCCTTGTAGTTAGCAGTCTAATGTGTACCGCACTACATGTAGCCCAGAACCAGGGCTCCCTTGGTTCTCTAGATACCTTATGTCTAGGGACTCTGGTGGCCTAGTGGGTTACGTACTGGGCTGCTAACCATAAGGTCATCTACTCAAATCTACTAGCCCCTTTCCACATGAGAGAGCGGAGGCTCCAGAAACACAATAGGGCAGTTCACTCTGAGTCAGAATGGGTAGTGAGGTCTTGTTTCGTTTGTGGATACCCGAGATATGCCTCTGCGATGTGCACACGTGTCTGTAAAGAAATCCCAAAGCAGCCTCCCCAGGACCAACTCTCCTTCCTGAAGGGTTTGTAAGACGGTGGGAGGGGAAGGCGCCGGGGAGCCCCGGCGGTGCGTTTTGCGCACTAGGAGGCAGCACCGCCCCGCGCGCGCCGGGTCCGCAGCCAGGACGGGTGTCCCGGGCTGGCGCGCCCCGCGCCAGGCCTGGGCGCCCTCCTCGGAAG